ACTGAGCTACATTCCAGCCGTTTATTTTCTTTTCATCTTGGGACAAGCTCTCACTAAGTTGCCCAGACACCAGCCAACCTGTGCTCCCCTGCGTCGGCCTCCCACGGGCGGGATTACAAGCATGCACCGCGGTACCCGGCTAGACTTGTGACTGCTCGTGTGCCTTGTGTTGCTTTCCTATTCTACGTGAATTAATTGCTTTAATCCTCACTGCAGCCGAGTTGTGTGGAAAGGATGATGCCCTTCTGTACTTTCCAGATCAGAAAGTAAACATGGACAGTGGTTAGGAAATGAGGAAGCCAGAATGTGGATTCTGGAAACGTAGCCCGTGTATTGCCCTTGATGACCCACTGAACTTCTAACCCAAATGCACCTGTCTTAGGTGGCCCCTGCCTCTGTGCCCACTATGCCCAGTGCCTCTGCATCCTCAACCCTAGCCTCCCATGCAGTATCCTCGGGTCAGGACTGCAAGGGCCTTGCTAGTGCTGGGGCAGCGTGGTTCCCAGGTCAGAAGGTTGCAGAACCTTGCATGGTCAGGCGCAGTGCCACAGCGCATAGGGCCATGGGCCCTGGCTTCCTGCCTGGGGCCTCCTTGGCAGCAGGCAGCCTCAGCCCACTCACCCTGTCTGTGCTTGGGGCCATTGCCCCTTGGTGGCCTCAGTCTTCGTGGCAGGTGTGGTGGGTCAGAAGCAGGCAGGATGCATACAGCATGCTCTATCACTGTGACTACAGAGTTGACTGAAGGGGAGTTGACTGAAGGGACAGTACAGTGTGGGCAGAGCCATCAAGGCATGGTGACACGTCTGAGGCCAGTGGTGGCAGGCTGAGGGGCGTTGTGCCAGGTGGCACCACTGACAAGACTCCCTGGTGCGAGACGTGGTCCCTAGAGGGGTGGTGCCTTCTCCAGACAGCAGCTGGGCTCGGGAAGTGCAGTTCTTAAGCAGCAGCGTCCTTGGGCTTTCAGAATGGAAAGGAGAGCAGGAGGGGAGAGAGCGGGTATCAGAGAGCAAAGCACAACGAGTAGCTTGCTACCCACTTCTGGGCATGTCCCCGGTTTCATTTTGTATGCCTGCTGCTTTGATATATCTTAAATCATCCATCTAGCCAGCCACCCATCTGTCCATCCACCCACCCATCCATTCATCCACCCACCCACCCATCCACCCAACCGTCCATCCACCCACCCAACCATCCATCATTTTGTTTTCTTTCAGTTTTTTAAAACAGGGTCTCACTATGTATTCCAGGCTGGCCTAAATTCACTACTTAGCCCAGGCTGGCCTTGAGCTTGTGACCCTCTTGCCTCAGCCTCCCAAGTGCTGGGATTACAGGCACACACTACTACACTGTCTGTCCATTTTAAAAACTCAGTGTGGGAAGACCTTTGGCACCCCAGGAGGCTGTTGAGGGAATAGTTCTCACGCTAAAAGGACTCGCAGTGCCTTCTGCCTCTTTCCTATGCTTTTCAGCCTCTCAGATCCCGGTTCTCTCTGGCTTCTGTCCCTGTCATTCCCAGAAGGTGATGACTGCTAGTCACTGTAGGCCCCTTCCCACAAGCGTGCCGTATTAGAATGCTCCTTCAATGACAAGTGGCAGGAACTCTAACTCAGCTTGGCTTCAGTGGCGCTGGGGAGATACCGCAGTGGTCTGAGAGGCCCCAGAACCACGGGTACACTGTGTGGGCCCTGGATATGGGTGTGGTAGTGCATACCTGGGGAGACTGAAAACAGGAGGATCACTACAAGTCTGAACTGTGTAGCGAGACCCTGTACCAAACAAACAAACAAATAAAAAATTTTTAAAATTGGCTTCAGCAAAAGCCAAAAAACAAATGAGAGAGAGAGAGAGAGAGAGAGAGAGAGAGAGAGAGAGAGAGAGACAGAGACAGAGAGACAGAGACAGAGACAGAGACAGAGACAGAGACCAACCTGAAAGGTTTGGAAAAGTCCCGGCTTGTGGCCGTGGCTGGAGGTCTAAGTGCTGTCCCCATGGCTCAGTGTCAGGCTCCACTGGGGCAGGATGACAAGCAGCAGCTCCAGCCACCTCCTTCAAGCAGGAGAGGTGTGAGAGCAAGGTGGAGAGAGGGGATGATAGGGACTGTGCCCAGCGAGGTAGAGTTGTGGCATGTGCAGAAAAAAGCAGGGCACTGGAGGAGTCGTGCCAAGCCCCTTGGGAAGCCCATGCACTAAGGCGTGGTGGAGCTGGATGCGGGTGGCAGAAACTTGGACGCCAAAGGCACTTCAGCCTGCTGTGTGCACTGTAGCCCTTGAGAGCAGACACACTCAGGATTTGTGGATTTTAGTTTTGTCTCTAAGATGCACCCACCCATGCCCATGTTTCTCTGTTTCTCACCTGCTATTCCTCTTGAAACTAGAACCTAAGCTCAGAGGGACCAGCCCTTCTCCTGAATGTTGTATCACTCCCACCCATCTGTCCATCCACCCATCCGTCCATCCATCCATCCATCCATCCATCCATCCATCCATGCATCCACCCATCCATCCATGCATCCACCCATCCACACACCCACCTGTCTGCCCAAATGGCAAGGGTGCCATTTGCATGGATTTAGTAAGATAAGGAAGCAGGAGGAAGAGTCCATTTATTGAACAGTTGTTTCTCCAGGCTCTTTGAGGTAGAAATATATATATATATATATATATATATATATATTTTTTTTTTTTTAAACTCAGAATCAGTTTGACATTAGAGGCTCCCTTCATTTGATTCCATTAATCATGCACTTTAATCTTGACATTGTCAGGCGGAACTCGCTGGGCAAATGTCGAGCTGTATGCATTCATTCAAATCCAACTTCTCTTGTGTGCCTTGATTTATTCATTGGAAAAATGGAGAAAAGTAAGTGCCATCAACCCCATGTGTCCCCCCAAAATAAGACCTAGCCAGCCTCCATCTGACCTACCCACCATTCCAGAGTAGCTACCGAGCAAGTTTATTTTCCAGTTAGATCTTATTTTGGGGGTAACACAGAATTAGATTAGTAGGTGGATGGATGGATAAATGGATGGATGGATGGAGGAATGGATGATTGCATGGATAGATGGATGGATGGATGGATGGATGGACTGATTAATGAATGATTGGATGGATGGAGAAGGATTTTTTTTTTTTTTGCTGGCTTAGGCTGCCTTAAGGGCGGGTCCAGTGTGGCATGTGGAACGGGGATTGAACTGCGGTCCCCTGTGCCTGACTGGGTTTGCCCAAGCAGGCTCTTTATTATTTATGTATTTTTGGTATAACCATATAAGAGCATTTATTGGGTTGGTCTGCAGTCTTAGAGGCAAGTAAGGTCCATAAGAGCCATTTATGAGAGTACAGGCAGCCAAGTCACAGTGGTTCTGCGCACTGGGCTAGTGGACCATCCAGAAGCTACTCCTCCCAGTATCAAAGGCCAGGAGGCTTACTGAGAAGTCTGAGATACCAGTCTGCATCAGGAAGGCTACAGACACGAGGGACATACAGACTAATGTGCAAGGGTGATGGCAGAAAAGATTTGTCCCCTGAGGAAAAGTGGAGTTCTTTTTTTTAATTTTAATTTTAGTTTTTAAAATTTATTTTATTTTTTTCCCATAATTTTATTGAGAAACAAATAGCAATGAGACAGTTTCAAACCAAATTGGTAGGACAGTTTCAATAATTAACACATTGCGAGCCAGGAAGATAGCTCAGAAGAATAATTAACACACTGCATACATTCTCCCTAGTGGTTAATTGCTGTACAAGATGCAGACATGATATCCTATTTACAAACACCATTAGAACAAATCCCTCTATTCACTGAGAGAATGTAACTATACATCTATCTTACACATTTTGAATACACGGATATAAAATGGACATTCATCTGTATCCCCTTTTTTAAAAGTAGAGTTCTTTAAAGTGGGTTTATTTCTTTCTTTCGTTTTTTATTTCATCTGGGCTACAAGTATATTTGTTGCTTCGATTCATAACAAGGGTGGTCTTCTCCCCTCAGTTCTGTAGCCTCCACAATAGTCATCCACAGACACATCCAGAACTGTGTTTAACTAACCTGTTAGGTTCTGATTAATGCAGTCTAGTTGATAGATTATGATTAAGAGTCACAAAAATGGTTAACTGTAACTAATGCAATTTGCACCCAAGGAAATGTATTCCAAGGCATATAATCTCAGCGTGCCAAGCAGGCTCTTTGAACAAGTGAGCTAACACACAAGCCCCCTGATTGGATGGATGGATAAAAGGATAGATGGGGCTGGAGATACAGCTCATTGGCACAAGTGCCTGCCTGGCAAATGTAAGGTCCTGAGTTCAATTTCCTGTGCAAAACAAAAAGGATGGATCAGTGGATGGACGACTGGCCAGAAGTATAAATGGGCAGGTTGATGGCTGGATGGATTGATGAAGCGATGGATGGATAGGTAGACAGCAGAGAGCCTAACAGTGGGTGGATGCTGTGCTCTCTCTATACACATACATGTGCTTCCCCTGTGGATGTGCATGAAGTCATTTTATCCCGGACAAAGAGATGAGACCTGCCTTATGTATGAAGAAATAGGCTCCACGAGATGAGGTGGTAGAACTGGGGCCTGCACTGGGCTGTCAGGTTCCACATCCGTGTTTTTAGCCATCTCTCCAAGCAACTCACCGGGGAGGTGTTACAGGTGGAGGGGAGTTCCCAGGCTTGCTGGCAGACGACTGCAAACAGTAGAACATGGGGTGACACACGCCAGTGTAGACAGTCGTACTGCAGGCTCCCAGCCAGCCCTGTGTGGGGCCCGCAGTGGGGACTCAGGCAGCGGGAAGGAGATGATAACTGTAGAATCGCTGTGAAGGTGAGGTGAGGTAGTGCAGCAAAATTCTACCTCCGCATGACCACCCCGGGGGCATCCAGGGCCACAACAGTTGGCTGTTAGAAACCCTGTGTTCTGTGATGACCCCATGGTAGGGGCAGAAGTCAACATGAGTGTCCTGACATTTATTTGTAAAGTGGATCTTGCACCCTGCTCTGGGGCCAGAGAGTGACTCTTGGGGAGAGGCCCCGCCTCCTTTCCGTGCCTGTTCCTGCTACCTGTTGTTCAGGGCTCAGCCACATCAGCAGGATCAAACTCAGAACCCACTTCCTCAATGGCCTTCCCCGCTTTCCCACCCAGAACTCCGCTTGTACTTCGGCCCTCTCTACCCAGTAGGCCTGGTCCTGCAGACACCGAAGCCCTCCTTGAGCAAAACGGGGATGATGTGAACAGATTCAGCTGGTGAGATTTATTAAGTAATTGCTTAAAGTCCGCTACCTCTTAACCTCAGAGATTTAGGACCGCTGTTCTGAACAGCTGTCTGACAGGGGAAACGTTGCCACGTGTCTCTGTGTGAGAGGGTGAGTATATTCTCTTCTGAAAACAGGACCACAATTTCCTGACGTCTTTTTTGAGGTGACCACGTCTGACTTAGGGTCCTGGCTCCAGAGAGAACACTGCCCAGCTCTTGCTTGTTGGGCTCAGTTCGGTGCTGTCGTAGACCTTGCCTGTGGATTTGGTCTTAGTAACTCTGGCTCCTTTTTGACATTTCAGATGGAACAGATTAAAAGGGTCAATAAACTGTTTACGAATGACTGCATATTTCTGAAGAAAACATTGAGCATCCCGGTTATATCAGAGAAGCCCTTATTGTTCCATGGACTGAACTCACCTGATTCTCCAGAAAATGAAGCTGGGGACAGTGGATTTCCTCCCGGGGAGCAGCTGGTGGTGGCGGGGGACGAGCTCCCTCCAACCAGCCCCCAGGTCCCAGCGCCACAGGCCGTGCAGCCTGAGGAGGTGTCAGCCAGGGACTTCCTGGACAGGCTGGACCTGCAGATCAAGCTGTCCACGCAGGCAGCCCAGCGGCTGAAGCAGGAGAGCAGGTAAAGAAGGGCCCTGGTACCGACCGCAGGGGCTGGAGAAGCTGCCGCAGATGGATCTGATGGAAAAGAAAATGTTCTTCGAGACAGGGTCTTGCGTGCAGTCCAGTCGGGCCTTGAGCTCACTTGGTAGCCCAGGCTGGCCTCAACCACATGGTGATCCTCCTGCCTCAGCCTCCTGAGTGCTGGGATGACAGGTGTGGGCCACCACACCTTTCTCCTGATAAAATTTTTAACTTAGAAAATCTAAGGCTGTGTGCTACCCCTGCGCTGTTGTCTCTGATGTTTGCTATAAAAAGCTGGCTTCTCTGCTTCATAGCAACCCTGTCCTGCCAGTAGTTCTGGTGGCGGCCTGGCGGACACACGCCTTGGCGCCTCCCAGGAACACCCTGCCCCAGAGGAGACTCAAAATCCATCGCCCCTTGGAAAGTCTGTCCAAGGTGTTCTTCACTATTTGCTACCAGGGCTTTCTGCACAAAAATTCTTGTGGACTTTCAAAAGAAATTTAGTACTCCCGGTAAAGCTTTTGCTTTCTTATAGACCAGGTTGCCTTCTTCCTCTGTGGCTCGTGAGGGCACATCCTCCTGTGTTTTCCTTTTCTCCTTGGCTACTGGGAACCTTGTAACTAAAACAGCTCCCAGGTTTAACTATTTATATTTGTTACAGTTAGCATGTTGATTTCCTTCTCCTTTCCTTAGCTCTGAGGGTTTTTTTTTTTTTTTTTTGGAACCGGGGGTTGAACTCAGGCCCTTGCGCTTGCCAGAGAAGTGCTTATTCCATTGAGCCATCTCCCTGGCCCCCAGTTCTGAGTTTTAATCTGTTTTCGTCACCCTATTATTTGTATGCCCTTGTTATAGGTACCTTAAATCTGCTTGAAAGAAAAGTAAAGTACAGAAGACATAAATAAACATGGATGTAATTTATTATAAACTTAATATATATATTTAAATAGTATATAAACAATTTCATTATTTATTTCAGTAACTGAGATACCAATAGGATGGATGGATATACTGTGTCCATCTCACTAGATGTGCCTTTGGCAAGTAGACATTAAACTGAATAATGTATATCTGTTTTTCTGAATACAGTTTCGAACACCAATTTGTGCTGGTTTTCCATTTTGCAGGGATGAAGAAAGTCCCTATGCGACCTCCCTTTACCACAGTTAGGCGGCTGGGCTTACTGCTGACCCGCCCTGGGAGGCGGCCGGACCCTAGCGGATCCGAAGCCGAAGACCCAGGCGAGCTTTGCGATTCCGGCAGCGCCGCCGCAGAGTTGTGCCGAAGCAGCCCGCTCCCCTCCCGGCTTCCTGAGTTCAAGTCTGGCTGCGGCATGGCGGCGACAGTGTGCCACAGCTCACCGCTCGTGTAGGTGGCGGCCGCTCTCAGCCTTGCTGTTCTACCCCAGTTTCGTGAAAACCCTGGTGGCTGGTTGAGGTGTGCTGAGTTGCTGTGTGTTTCTAACAAATGCTATATAGAAATTATATTTCACTATGTATTACACATTCCGTGTTCATGGAAGAAGCAAATTTTGTCTGCTATTTTGTAAAACTTAACTACAAATTCTGAATGAAAAAATAAACTATGTTTTCCTATTTGAGTCTTCTTTTCAACACAGGGGGAAATAAAATCGATTTTTTAAATTGTGGTTTTGAATCAGCAACAGGCTTTTTCCCACACTTTGGTGGTTTTTGTTATTATAAATCCAGCTTTGAGAAAAAAAAATGCTTCAATAATCTGAAAGCAAATTGCTTATACTTTTTAGCAACGCTTGCCTTTCACGGGCCTAACGTGGCGTGGACGGGTAGAAACGTGGGTCCCGCTGAGGGACAGGCAGCTGGGAGCCTGGCCCGAGCCCACTCAGCTCCAGCGCCATGCTCCTGGCGGGCTGCTTTTCCGAGAGCATGTGTGTTAAGAACTAAGTGCCAGCCGTAAGGTAAGAGAGAGGCTCACAAGGGCAGGAAGCATTTATCCTCCCAGGAAAATAGTTACAAAGTAAGCTCGGCAACCAGCCCTCGGGTCTATTTCTTAGGCCTCGAGACAGCTGCTCATCCATCTCTCCACACCGTCCCCAGAGAGCCTGCTATCCGCCGGCAGATGAGACCTCTGCTTCCAGGGCTTGCCGTCCCTGTCATGTTCCCCCTTCCTATCTTGCTCCTGAATCTTCCATGAAATAGGACACCAGGCCCTCACGCTAGAGAGGCTGAGCCAGAGCTGCACACATGCCCCGGAAGTGGACAGCAGGTCCGTCGGGACTGTGTCGGCGCCTGTGCTCCATTTGTTGTCTTCCTGTTTGTTCCCAACCTGACACACGTAACCCCGGGCACCCTGTTTCTTCTCCTCGTGTTATGCCCACATCTGAAGCATGATTTGCTGGAACCACTGCTGTCTGACCTGAGTTCGTTGGAGGAGGAGAAAATGAAAAGAAAGGGAAAGTTTTGCACATAAGAAAGGACCCAGCAAGTGTCTATAAAAGCTTGGAGACTTGTTAAAAATGTAGAGTCATCATGCTGGTCAACATAGCCAGGCATGGAGGGACATGCCTATAATCCCATCACCAAGAGGCTGAGGCAGGAGAATTTTAAGCTCAAGGCCAGCCTGAACTACATGATGAGGTCTTATCTTAGGAAAAGAAATGAAACAAACAATCCCCTCAAAATAAACAGAAACCCAAAGCTCCCCAAATTAAATTGTTATTCAAATAGAGTGGCATGAGCTTGGAGAGTAATTCAAAGGCATTGTTGACCAAAAGATGCCTTGTGAGCTCAAATTTGAAATTAGGATTACAATCTCAAAACATGTTCCAAGTATTGTATTGTTGCTCAATTCTGTTAGCATCTTCTAGCCAAACCATTCTGCGAGTTCTGCGGGCTCCTCCCTGAGGTCCTCTATGGGGAGAGGCAGAGCCTGCAGCTTTGCTTTCAGCCCAGCTCTTTGCCCAGGGTTACCTAACCCCGGGCATAGCCTGTGCTCTTGTCCCCTTAAAGCCGGTCTCTTCTTTTCCAAATCAGGACCTCAATAGGCGCTGACGGAGCTCTGTGTGCTTTGAAAACTATAATAAGCCCTTGAATGCTTTCCTTATTTTAGAAAACCCTGAGCAGATTTTATGTCCTAGAAAGTACAGGAGGAAATGTTTTATTCGGAGCCAGTTGGTTGCCTGATGCAGAAACTGAGTCATCCCATGCAGGGGACTCTGTGACACCCTGTCACCGCCTGAGGGCCTGCGCGTTATGCACAAGGTGTTCTGGTCCCCTTCCCCTCCACCCTGGCTTCTCTAGAGCACGCCAAGGTTCCGTTGTGTGTCTGTCAGGTTTGGGCCTCCTGGATAGCGTCACAGGCCCCAGAAGGCATTTGAAGCAGGTACAAAAAGACAGAGACACAGAGCATTGTGTTTTTATGATTTTAGGCAGATCTATAGAGTAATATGTGATTACACTGACGAAGATGTCATCAGAGGCATATTGGCTCAGGGGTAATGGCCTTTGAGATCGTAGGAGACCTCTGGCCTCTGTCCAGTTGCTTCCTGGGCTTGGTGGTGGCAGCTGAGGTTCAATAACCCGCCCTCCAGCAGCGCAGTGCCCCCAACTGAGTTCACAGGCCTGGGAGGAGTCTTAGCTATTTCTAGCCCAGAGCCTGGTCCCTGGCTCTCTGTGGAGATACCTGGCTTGGATCAGGTCCATCTGAGATAAGTGAGATGTGGATGAAGTTTTCCCATGCTTTATACTGTTTATGACTATGCTTACTGTCTTGGAGTGAACATAACTATCCCTCTTTATCCACAAGCTTGATGTCTGAAAACTTGACAATAGGAAGTGTTACAGTGTGTGTGTGTGTGTGTGTGTGTGTGTGTGTGTGTGTGTGTGAAATTGCTAATAAATCCAGGAAAACTTCTGCCGTTTGCAAGTTCCATTTGGTGCCACTGGGCCAAAGAAAGCCAGATAAAAAGAGCAGCTGAAGAAGCTATGAAGGAGAAGCTGTTTAAGCTCTCGGGGCTTTGAGAAAATAGGAATTTTACTCCTATTAAACTCCCAACTGGGAATTGTAGGCCGAAAGGAGGCCTTTTCACAAGTCTGGTCTGCACAGTGCATTGGTAGCTGGCATGGCCTGAACGCCAAGAGAGAAGGATTCGCTAGGCTCAGTCCTGTCACAGGTTTCTCAGGGGAATGTTGGTCTAGGCAGAAAAAAAATGATTCTAGGTACAAAGTCTCAGCCACAGACAACTTGATTTTCAGGTAGTTTTTAATGACAAGAAAGCTCTATCTTCCCCCTTCTATAAGGTCAACTATAGTGAACTCAGCACTTTCTACCATCCTTGGGTCAGAGAAGGTTTACTGCAGGATCAGAGGTGTGCTGAGCTCCGGTAAGGTCTCCTGGCTCCGCGCAGTGTCACAGGCTGCTGTAGATGCGCTTGATGGCGCTGGCTTCCTCCTTGTCCAGGATGCCCTTGGCCACGTACGCGTCAGCCTGCTGGGTGATGAAGTCTCTCATCTTGGAAAGGTCATAATCTGGAAGACATTGTCATGAGGGCATCATGAGCACAGGTCAAGCCCATCCCAGCGAGTACCACTGGAAAGCGCTCAGGGTAACGGGTCGCTGGCCTTGCCCTTCACGGCGGGAGATGTTGAATTCTGGCCATCGGGGCAGGACTCTAAGGAAAGCGGAGCGCCCTGCTGGACATCCCCTCTGAGGTAATGATATGCTTTCCCCCCAAATCAAGAACTGCCTGGTTACTTCATGCTGTTTGAATTGCATGCATGGGACAGAAAGCAAAACCACTGGCTGGGCGTGGCAGCACATGCCTGCAATTTCAGCACTTGGGAGGCTGAGTTGAGAGAATTACAAGTTCAAGGCCCACCTGGGGTGCACAGGGAGTTTGCTGCCAGACTTTACTACCTGCTAAGAGCCTGTCTCTAAACATAAAATTTAGGAGCTGGGGAGATGGCTCAGTGGAATAAGCACTTCCCTGGCAAGTGCAAGGGTCTGAGTTCAATCTCTGGTTCCGTAAAAAAAAACCCATAAAATTTAATAGCTGAACCATAACTTTATGACTCCTCTGTCCTACTTCAAGTGTATGTGAAGGAAACCACCAAACTTGCAACCAAAAACAGGGTGAAGCCTCTCTGCACTTTGCCTCGATCCTTTCAGGGTTAGATCATTATAATTACTAGCAAGTGACCAGAATCCTGCCATCTGCCAGTCTGCACAGGAAAAGAAAGGAGGGGCAGAGGCAGGCACAGAGGTCCTCAGCCACGCACACCAACCCGGCCAGCAAGTGTCATTGGAACCTACTCCAACCCCTAGGCTCTGAGAAAAGGCAGCCCCCACCCACATGATGGAGAGGCAGCTTCAGATCTCGACCGCACCTCCCTCCTGCCTTGCATTTTCTCAGTCTGCAACTACACTGCTGCCAGATGGATCCCTGCCTTAGCCTCGGGAGGCTCCAATTTGGGCTCCGTTGGCCATACTGCCCTTTCCCGCCACAGGCTGCCCACTCCCAGGCCCGGCTGCCAGGGCTCCTCTGCGCTGGGCATCCCGGTTCCTGGGCCTCCTTCTGTCCCCATTCCTCCTCACTCAGCTCGTCCTCCTGCCTGTCTCTGTGGTTGTCGTAGAAGCCCTGCCCTGTCTCCTGGCCTGCTGGTGCCTCTGCACTACAGGTTGCCCCCAGTCCAGAGCAACCACAGTCACCCAGACACAGCCGGAGGCTGCTGTGTCTTCCAGCCGTCTGCTTGTCTGGGCCTCAGAGCTGGCTGTGGCGCTGTGCACCATCCCATGTGGCACAGGAGCTGCTTTCCTGAGGGCTGGGGCACCTGGAAGGTTCCCAGAGGACGAGGAAGGGACAGACACATGGCAAAGTGCTCCACCATCGCTCTGCCTTTACTCGGAGTCCTTCATAGTGACACGTAATAAAAAAAGCAGAAGGCCTGGGAGGCTGCTTTGGTTCAGAGACAGGAGTCCACCCACCTCCACCCCTAAAGGAGCAGAACGCCTGTGGGTCCTGTCAGTCTCCCTGCGGGACCCTTGGGAGTGAGGGCGCGCCACCCAGGGAGACTGCATGGGCCGCCACCCTGCGTCCTTACCGCCTTTGTTCCCTTTTCTGTCATGTCTCTTCAACCACTCAATATTTTTCCTTATGGCTTCCAAGTAGGCTTCAGTCTTCCCTGGAAAAAACAAGAGAATCATATCAAATCCTCACAGAATATTCCAGCATCTCTTTGTAAAGCTCCATGACTCAAAAGTAAGTGTCAGCCACATGGAGCATGCAGGAGGCGTGTGGCGGGGCTGTGCACAAGCACTGGTGTGTGCCACAGGTCCATGTGAACAAGGCTGTGCCAAGGGGCTTCTGGCCTGCACCCCAGAGGATGCAGAGTGTGCCGAGCGGCCAAGGGTTTTGGTTCACTTGGTTTCCTGGTGGTTCGTCACTTCCAGTTATGATGCTTTTTCCAAATTCTTCCAAGCCCAGGAGCAGCGTCAGATCGAGGATGGAGTCGGATCCCAGAGGCCACACCTGTGTTCAACACTCATGCGTGTGCCTTTGTGTCTCCCCAAGCCTTTGCCTGGCTAGGAGGTGGCACCAGGCCTGAGGGGTGTG